CATTCACTTTTTAGGAGAGAGCCCATAACTGTCTAACATTTTCACTTTGTGGTTAAAACCACACCCTCATTGCTTCGTAAATCTAAGCTTGGCTAAAAAGCAAACAAACAAATGTTGGGCCATTGCTCCTACTTCACTCCTCTTTTGAAGAATATGACAGCTTTTTAACTGACTACAACTTTCCTCAAATGATTCATGAGATCTAAAAATTACATATTTTCCTGCAAATATGTATATTTTCTTGTGAATATGGAGAAATGGGTAGGCAATGAGAATTAAGTTATACTTAAAGGAAACTCACCTGATGGGAAGTCAATTCACTGGAATTACAAAGCGGAAATAAGGCCGCAGATGAATCACCGCAAAGTATATCTTGTCCTGAACTCAACTGTTCACTACATTTTAGGAAATTAAACTCCGTCTTTCCTGTATGTGCAACACATAGGTTGTAGGAATAAGGCAAAGTCCCCTCGCTGTAGTTGGGGGGAACCACAGGTCCAGACTTGACACAGAGACCTGGTTGGAAGCAGCTCCAGGCAGCGGGGCTGGAGGAGCGTCGCAGGCGCAAGGCAATGGCCAGAATCATGGCCAGGAGGAAGAGTACTGAAATCAAGGCCAAGGCCACCACTAGGTAAAACTGCAGCTCAGCCTGGGGGTCAGAGGGTACAGGGCGGTCAGTGATATCCGGCAGCACCTCCTGCAAGCTGTCGGCAAAGACCAAGTGCAGCGTGACGGTGGCGGAGAGTGGCGGCTGTCCACCATCACGCACGGCGACCAGCAGGCGCTGTCGGGCCGCGTCCCTGTCGCCCAAGGCACGCTCCGTGCGCACCTCTCCCGTGCGCAGCCCCAGGCTGAAGAGCCCGGGCTCGCTAGCCTGCAGCACGTGGTAGGACAGCCAGGCGTTGTGTCCTGAGTCTGCGTCCACCGCCACCACCTTGGTCACCAGGTAGCCGGGCTCTGCAGCGCGCGGCACCATATCGAAGAGCGCGGAGCCGTCGGGACCCAGCGAGGGGTACAGCACCCTAGGCGCATTGTCGTTGCGGTCGCCCACCAACACGCGCAGGCTCACGTTTGCACTGAGTGCAGGCGAGCCCTGGTCGCAGGCCTGCAGTGTGAGTTTGAAGGAGCGCAGCTGCTCGTGGTCGAAGGCGCGCTGCGCGAACACCACCCCGCTCTCCGTGCTTATGGACACGTAGGATGACAGCTCCCGCTGCTCCAGGTCACTGGCCACGATGGAGTAAGACACTTGGCCGTTGGGCCCCAAGTCAGGATCGGAAGCGCTGACTTGTGAAATAGAGGCTCCAGGCGGGTTGTTCTCGGCCACGTAGACTATATAGGAAGACTGTGAGAAAACTGGAGCGTTGTCGTTTACATCACCAATGTGCAGAGTGATGCTGGAACTGGAGGAGAGGGGAGGCTTGCCCCGATCTGTGGCCGTAATGGTGATATTATACTCTGGATTCTGCTCGCGGTCTAGAAAAGCATCTGTCACTAATTTATACGTGTTTCTTGAAGAAGTTAATATCTTAAATGGAACATCATCTTCCAATTTACAAGTAACTTCACCATTGTGTCTGGAATCCTTGTCACGGACTTTGAGCAAAGCAATATGTGTTCCTAGCTCAGCGTCCTCCATAATTAGGTTGGGTAGAGACTGGAATATCACTTCTGGGGCGTTGTCATTTTCATCTATGACTTCTACCTCCACTGTGCATTGTGCAATCATTCCTCCACCGTCCCTTGCTTCCAAAACTATGGAATATTCGTTGACTTCTTCAAAATCTAATGTATTTAAAACAGTAATTTCCCCGGTGTTAGAGTTCAGGTCAAATTGGGTGATCTGGCTAGCTTCACTGAAAGAGAAAGTAATCTCGGCATTGATACCCTCATCCTGGTCTGTGGCAGTCACCTGTAGCACCGTTGTCCCTGGGTACACGTTTTCCGAAAGGCTCACCCTGTATACGTCTTGACTGAACACTGGAGCATTATCATTGGCATCAGTCACTAGAACGTGTATCTGTGCAGTGCTGCTTAGGGGTGGAGCTCCAAAGTCCAAGGCAGTCAAAGTCAAGTGGTAAGATTTCTGCTTTTCTCGGTCCAAAGGTGTCTTCAATACCATCTCAGGGTATTTACTGCCATCTGATTTCTCTTTATTTATCAGTGAGAAATGATCACTGGGACTGAGTTGGTAATTCTGCAGTGTGTTGCTACCAATATCCGCATCATGGGCAGATCCTAATATAAATCGTGTGCCAGGCTGTGCAGATTCACTTATTTGCAGCTCAAAGGAATTTTGCGTGAATGTTGGCGTGTGGTCATTAATGTCCTCGATCTCCACATTCACGTGATAAAAGTTCAGTGGATTTTCAGCAACAGCCTCAAATTCCAGAGCACAAGCTGGATTCTTCCCGCATATCTCCTCCCTGTCTAGCCTGCTGCTCACAAGCAACTCCCCTCTCTCTGCGCTCACGGTGAAGTAAGGCTTCTCCGAACTGACGCGCAGTTTTCGAGTCGGTAACTCCTGGACGCTGAACCCCAGGTCGGTGGCGAGGTTCCCCACTACGGAGCCCTTGGGCATTTCCTCGGGAATCCTGTAGCGGATCTGCTCACAGAGCGCCGGGCAGAACAAAAGCAGCAGGAAGAGAAAGAGCATTGGCAGCCTCTCAGCCCGGCCCACCTTCCCGGCGCCGCTCCCCATCCCTCTTGCTTTCCTCAGCTTGCTCACCAGCCTGGAGACGCCGGGTTACAAATAACCTCTTTATTGCTGTTTTTCGGATCTCCGAACGGACTTTAGTTCCAGTTCCAGTTCAGGAAAAAATTCTTCTTTTTCCAAGGAGGAAGCAGTATAAAGGCTGGCGCTGGGGAGTCTGAGTTGGGGCTGCCCTGGAAAGCGCGTTGCGGCTGCGCGAGGAGATCTGGAGGGCCAAGCTCACCACTTTGGCCAACAGCGGCACCCAGAGTGATCACTAGGAAACTACAGCCTCTGCTGCTTCAAGTTAACCAGCTCAGTAATTATAATTGTGTGCCTAACTGAAAGAACAAAAACTACATGGATATGTCTATATATTTAATGACGTCTAAAAATGTACTCTTAGGAATGCCTTCATCCCAACTTTGAAGATTTTTAGGCAAATCATGTAGGTTAAGTACATAAACATCTGTCTATTGACATAAGCTTTCCCCAATCTTCAAACATGCACTATCTATTTAATGATAGCCATAACACAAACTTGGCCTAAACCATCTCAGAATACAGTAATTTTCCATACTTACTCATTAGAAATATACTGGATACATTTTATCTTTCTTTCATTATTCCCAACATTTTTTCCACTTTTCTAAGTACCTCCAAATTGATTTATTTCAACTTTTTCTGAAGAGTATCAGTAATGCCAAAATTGCCTTTTAGAAGGTGCAATTTATACTTATCTTCAAATACATCCCCTTCCCAGTATTTTCAGTGATTTCATTACAGGAATATTATGTGACTCTCATTTCGATGATCACAGGCAATAGCCTACTCCTCTCCTCATTACACAATTAGTTTCCTAGTTATGAGATACAACATTCATCTTCAGAGTTATCAGGGGCATAATACATAGCCTCAAAACACAAAGTCACTGAGATCTGCTGCACTGCAGCACTACTTCCTACCTCTGCAGTTATTTTACATTCCTTGGTGACCTCTGAATTGAAGGAAACAATCCCTGGAAAATTTGATTTCAATAGCTCACTGAGTTTAGTGATTATTTCTCTCCGTTGCTTAAAAGCAATTTTATGCATCTAATAAATTTTTGTCAGGAGATTTTCTTTCACAAAATACCTTATAACCAATTTCTGGCATAGGACCTTCCCTCAGTAACACTGTTAGTGTCAGCAACATTGTCTGCTACCCCAAGTGATTGTACATCTGAAATGTGAACACTGCAGAACTTGTAAAATATATCCCCCACATTATTGTACAGTCTATCGTGTGCAAAATACTACCAAATACAACACTAGTCTAAAAAGAAGTCTTTTTTTGAAAAGACAGAATCTTGTTATATTATCTAGGTGGGCCTCCAGTTTCTGGGTTCAAGCTATCCTCTTGCCTCAGCCTCCCATGCAGGTGGACTATAGCTTGCAACACCATGCCTGGCTAAAAGTGTCTTTTTAATTAATACTCAAAGGTCTCTGGAATCAAGATTACCTTGTCATCCACCCCTTCTGGATGACAATCACTTGATATATTGAGTTTTACTAAAATGTTACACAAAAGAATACGGAAGTAGTTAATCTCAGATTGGGTTATTTCCAACTGAATTTTTCAGTAGACCTAATAAATAAAATAAACTACTGGTCTAGGATCTGTGTACATAAGATAGTCGAGGGTTTGAGTAAATGAGACAGTTGAAACAAAGCCAATATCCCCAATCTCCCACTTTGATAGCCCACAGACACACTTCACCTGGCTGTACCACTAAAACAGCACACTGGAATTCTCTGTTAAAACATGTAATTGCCTATGTCAAATGCCAATTACAACACTTGAAATGACATTTCATTTGACATATTTTATTGGTTTTGTCTGATGGCCTTTAGTGTGGCATTTGTCTTTGATATAGATTTTAGTGAAGTGTGATACACACACATTTCATTCTTTAGGCATAAATCTAACCTTCTACTACCACCCCATTAATAGGTGATTATACTGTAAATAGGTCAAGAAGCAATCAAGATTTTTTAGGATCACCAAGCTGAGGTACATGGAGGCAGAATCAGGCACAGAAAAAAATCTTCACATGGAAGAAATCTTGCAGAACCTTTTATATATTTAAGTGCAAAAGAGAATCCTGAGAAGGCAGCTGAGGTGTGTTTTATTCCTGCTAACCTTGTGCAATGTGAAAGACTCGATTCATTCTAATTTATAAAATATATGAGTGAAGAAAGTAGGTTGGAACATAGATTGGAAATTAGGTGGAAATTATAAAATGTGATAGTCCACTTTTTCATAATCTTGTCCACAGGTTTTCACTAAAGAAATGCTATATCCTATGTGTTCTATATTAAAGTGTCACAACTGAAGGAAACCGGTAAACTCAGTTTTACCTCTACAAAGTTTTTAAAATCCCTATTTTCAAAACACTTGTTTTGCAAAATAATAGAGAAATATCATGCAAACAAATTACTCACGGAAATAAAGGAAGGGCTGGGCTCACCTGAATAGTTGGCACTTTGTCTTTACATTCATGAAAATCTACGGATGTTAGCAAAGAATCATTTTTCTCACAGCTCTCCTGGCTGATAAGTGTGTCCGCATAGTTGGGTTGGGGGAAGATCAGGTGACTCTTCCGAGAGTCCGAGGTGAGGGAGACCTCGTGGGAATAGGTCTGCAGGAAAGCCCGAACCCCGTCCACGCCCACATAGTGTGAGGTGGGCACACTCGCCAGGCCACCTTCTGAAGCCTGCAGCCGGCGTGACTTGAGCCAGCGCCACAGCCTGAGCGCCAGCAGTACGAGAACGAAGGCTAGGAAGATGCAGGAGACTGCGGACACTGCCACCACCAGGTACAGCATGAGGTCAGAATTGTAAGGACCGTTGGAGGGCTCAAGGCTGCCCAGGTCGGCCAAGACTTCGGGGATGCTGTCGGCCACAGCCACGGTGAGTGTGACGGTGGCTGACAGAGGAGGCTGGCCGTGGTCCTGGACGGCCACCAGGAGGCTCTGCTTGAGCGCGTCTCTGTCCAGCAGGGCTCGCGCCGTCCGCACCTCACCCGTGTGCAGCCCCACCACAAACAGTCCTGGCTCGCTGGCCTTAAGCAGGAGGTATGACAGCCAGGCGTTCTGGCCTGAATCTTTGTCCACTGCCACTATTTTGGTCACCAGGTAGCCGGGCTCTGCAGAGCGGGGTGCCAGCTCCAGGCCAGTAGAACCGTCTGTGGGGAGGGCCGGGTACAGGATCTCAGGCGGGTTGTCATTCTGGTCCAGCACAAACAGGCTCAGTGACATGTTGCTACTGAGAGGTGGGTCCCCGCTGTCACGTGCGGTCACTGTTAGTTGTAGTTCTCTCAACTGCTCATAGTCAAAGGATTGCAGCGCATACAGGACTCCAGTGTCAGAGTTTATAGAGACATAGGAGGACACTGGTCCCCCCTGGATGGTGTCTTCAGCCAAGGAATAAGTGACCTGGGCATTCTCCTCACTGTCGTGGTCCTGTGCAGTCACTAAGAAAATGGAGGCCCCTCTGGGGTTGTTCTCAGGGATGTAGACTGAGTAGGATGAGTGGGGGAAGGTGGGTGGGTTATCGTTGGTGTCTGCCACCTGCATGGAGATGTGAGTTTCCCTGGACAAGGGAGGAATTCCACCATCTGTGGCTTTCAGTGTGATGTTATACAAAGAGAGTGTTTCCCGGTCCAAGTTTTTGGTTGTGACCAATCTATAATAATTATCTATTGATTTTTCTAATTTAAAAGGTAGATTTTCTGGAATGGTGCAGGTCACCTCACCATTCTTCCCAGAATCTCTGTCTTGTAGGTAGAAAAGAGCAATTACTGTTCCAAGAGGTGTGTCCTCAGGGATTGAGCTACTTAAAGACGTCATAATCACTTCTGGAGCATTATCATTTACATCTAAAACTGTGATCAGTACTTTTGCCTTTGTCAGACTACCAGGAACATCTTGAGCCTGAACTTCCATTTCATAGAAGCCAGTTTCTTCATAATCTAATCCTTCTAAAGTTGATAATTCTCCTGTAAGCGAGTTCAGATGAAACATCTGTAGAAGTTTAGGAGTTATTTTCCGAAAAGAGTATGTCACTTCCCCATTGACTCCCTCGTCCAGGTCGATAGCATGTACCGTGAGCAGTTTTGTGCCCACTGGTACATTCTCGGGGACAGTTACTTGGTACTGAGGCAGAAAGAAGACAGGCGCGTGGTCATTCACATCCACCACTGTTACCTGGATGCGGGCGGTGCTGGATCGGGGCGGGTCGCCGCCGTCAGAGGCTGTGAGGACCAGGTGATGAACCCGCTCTTCCTCCCGGTCCAGCACCCGCTCCAGCACCAGCTCCGGGTACTTAGTTCCATCGTCTCCACTTTGCACAGCCAGGGAGAAGTGGCGATTGGGGCTGAGCTGGTAACTGTGGAGGGAGTTCGTGCCTACATCTGGATCCCCAGCCTCGCTTAACGGAAACCGAACCCCGGGAGCTGTATTCTCCATTATTTTTACATTTATTTCTTCCGTCAAGAATCTTGGAACGTTGTCATTAATATCTATTATTTCCACGTCTATAGAGTAAAGATTCATTTTATCTTCCATCAGGATGTTAAAGTTTACCAGACACCGCGCGCTCTGAGCGCAGATCTCTTCCCGGTCTATCCTGCCCGCAGTGACCAAGCTGCCGCTGCGCGGGTTCAGGGCGAAAAGCTGCGTCCTACCTCTGGAGACGATGCGGACTCCGCGCTCCGCCAGCTCCTGGGGCTCCAGCCCCAGGTCCTTGGCGATGTCACCCACAAAGGACCCTTTGTCCGTTTCCTCCGACACGGAGTAGAGAATACGTCCTGCCCAGCCTTCCCACAGGGTCCCCAGGAGGATGGAGAGCAGGAGGAATCCTCTGTAGTCTCCGCCCCTTGGCTGAGCCGCCATAGTAGTCCTGCTTCTCTTGCTCAGGCGCCAGTCTCGGGAAGTGCTTCAGAATGCGGGTGTATCTGGGTGGACACCTCTGTCTTCAGAAGGGGAGCTCAGAATCCAGCAGGATAGAAGCTTGAGTTTAGTGCAGCCTAGAAGAGGGCTTATCGCAATCTGTCGTTTCTCTGTGCTGTAAAACTCGGTGGTTTCTGTGGGATCTCTCGCACAGTTTTTCCCTGGTTGGTGAACAGCGGCGCTCTGAGTCCTTACTAAGTTACTGCACCAGATTGATGCACGCAATACACTGATTTCATAGAAAATTGTTTCATCTTTCAAAATTTCCCTGTTAAATTTCTTTGCTCTAGATATCCCTGATAATTTAAAAATCCATTTTAAGACACTGAATTAATGCAACAGTACTCATGGATGGGTGTTTGATAATCTTAGATAATTTTTTTAAAAACTGCTTTGCTTTGCAACTTTCAAGTGACTCTTTTGGGCACTGACTCACACGTTATTGCACATAGGAAAATCAGTCATTGAAGGCAAAAAGGTAAATTTTATTTAAATACATATGAAAAATTTTACGTAGAAAATATTTACATCAGTGTATATAAATTTTAATTAATTCAGTATTAATTGAACACATGTTCTAGACACCATCATGCAGGATTCAGAAAGTCAAAATTGTTGTAAAATATATAGACCTATTTTAATAAATTTTTGATTGTATAGAACCTTAGAGATAGTCTAACACCTTCATTTTAATGAGAGGTAGGGGGCCAGACACGGTTGCTTACTCCTGTAATCCCACACTTCGTGAGGCCGAGGCAGGCGGATCACCTGAGGTCGGGAGTTTGAGACCAGCCTGACCAACATGGAGAAACCCCATCTCTACTAAAAATACAAAATTATCCGGGTGTGGAGGAAACAACGGTAAAAATCCACAGGAATACCCAGGTATACACAAGAAACACACATTAACCAACAAGAGAAGCGAACAGACAACGAATATCACACCATTGACAACAGCAACCAGAGACAACAAGAGCAAAACTCCGCCCAGAGAGAGAGGAGAGAGAGAGACGAGAAGAGACAGAGAGAGGACAGAGAGAGAAAGGAGATTGCCTTGTTCCCTGATTATTGATTATATAGGTTAGGTAGAACATGTCCGGAATTCCAAAATTTCTCACTCACAGTCTTGTGAGAAAAAAAAGAGAAAGATATCATCTGTTTGTCTGGCTGCAACAATCAGCTATAAATGGCAATCCATTTTCTACCAGACAGCAGAAATCTGCAGCAGATCCTACTGGGCTGTGAATTCATCAAGAAGGAAGTGGATTAATGATTGGTTGATTCTTTTCATTAGGGCAATTCATTTCAGCCC